GATTGAACCCCAGAGCCTTTACACTGAGGTACATCTCCATTTTTTTGTTTGTTTGTTTGTTTGTTTTTTGAGGCAGGGTTTCCTTTGTAGTTCAGGCTGGCTCTGAACTCACTATGTAGCCCAGGATGGCCTCGAACTCAAGGCAATCCTCCTGCCTCAGCCTCCTGAGTGCTGGGATTACAGGTGTGTACCACCATGCCTGGGTTCCAGTTCTTTTTTATTTACTTTTTTTTTTGGTACTGAGGATCAAACTCAGGACCTTTTGCTTTTGAGGCAGGCATGATGCCACTGAGCTAAATCCCTGGCTCTACTCTTTTTTTTTTTGAGAAAAAGGAAAAGAGGAAGAGTCCTAGGGTCTTGCTAAATTACCAAATTGTCCAGACTGGGCTTGAATTTGGAATCCTCCTGCCTTAGCCTCCCAGCATTATAGATGGGATTATAGATTGGGATTATAGATGTGCCTAATTGTTATTGATCTTTTCAAAGAATTGACATTTGGCCAGGCATGGTTGCACATGCCTGCAATCCCAGCACTCAGGAGGCTGAGGCAGGAGGATCACTGAGTTTGAGTCCAGCCTGAACTACATGGCAAGACTCTGGCTCAAAAAAAAAAAGAGCCGGGGATTTAGCTCAGTGGTGCCACCGCCTGCCTCACAAGCGTGAGGTCCTGACTTCGATCCCCCATACCAAAATAAAAAATGTGGTTCCATTGATTCTTTTCTATTTGCTGTATCATTTATTTATTTCTTTTTTTTTTTCTTTTTTTGGTACCAGGGATTGAACTTGGAACCTTGTGCTTACGAGGCAGGCAGAGGGACCACTGAGCTAAATCCCCAGCTGTATCATTTATTTCTACTTTACTTCCTTTTTGTTTGTTTGTTTATTTTATTTTATTTTTTTTGTAGTAATGGAGATTGAACTCAGAACCTTTCGCTTAGGAGGGAGGCACGGTGCCATTGAGCTAAATCCCCAGCCCTGTTTATTTTATTTATTTATTATTTATTTATTTATTTTTGGTACCAGGGATTGAACTCAGGACCTTGTGCTTGCAAGGAGAGGGCGGAACCACTGAGTTAAATCCCCGCCCCTGTTTGTTTTATTTTTGAGACAAGGTCTTGCTGTGTAGTTAAGGCTGTCCTTGAACTCACTATATAACCCAGCCTGGCCTCGAACTCATGGCAATCCTCCTGCTTCAACCTTCGGAGTGCTGGAACTATAGGCGTGCACCACCATGTCTGGCTTTTATTTCCTTCTTTTTTTTTTTTTTTAAAATTTCCTTCTAAGTGGAAGCTTAAATCATTTTATATTTCTTCTCTAATATAGGCATTTAAAGCTACAAAAGTAATTCTAAGCACTGATTCTGACAACCCATAATTTTTTTGTGTTACATATCAAACCCATGATCTTGTGCATGCCAAGCATGCATTCTACCACTGAGGCTACAGGCCAGCCAGCTAAGTACCTTTTTGTTATTAACTTATAATTTACTTCTGCTGAGGTCAAAGAGCATACTTGGTTTTTTTTGGTTGTTTTTTTTTTTTGGTACCGGGGATCGAACTTGGGTCCTTACGCTTTCGAGGCAGGTGCTGGAACCACTGAGCTAAATCCCCGGCCCTGTTTTTTAATTTTTATTTTATTTTTAAATTTTTAAATTTTTGGTCCTGGAGATTGATCTTGGGTCCTTGCGCTTGTGCAGCAGACAGTGGAACCACTGAGCTAAATCCCCGGCCTTTTGGTTTTTTAAGAGTAGGAAATATTTATTGAGAGAAAGCTTCTGTCTAAGAGAGACAGAAGGGGGACCCAGAAAGTGGGTTGCCTCTAGAGCATACTTGTAATGATTTCAGTCCTTTAAAATTTTTGTTTTTGTGATCCAAACTATAGTTTATCTTGAATATTCCAGGTGCACTTGGAAGAAAACTTTGTTGGGTGCAGGGTTCTATGTCTGTTAAGTCAAACTGGTTCATTGTGATTGTTTTGTTCAAATCTTCTTTATCTCCACTGGTTTTCTGTGAGGAGCACTGAAATAGCCATTTACGGGTGTCTAATTTCTCTGGTCAATTCTGTCAGTTTTCCTTCATATATATATATATACTCATATAAATATATATATTTGTTTTGTTTTTCTGAGACAGGATCTCACTCTGTAATTTAGGCTGGCCTGGAACTCACCATGTAGCCCAGACTGGCCTCAAACTCATGGTGATCCTCCTGCCTCAGCCTCCAAGTGCTGAGATTACAGGCATGTGCCACCACACCTGTCCTCCTTCATATATTTTAAATCTCTGTAATTGGGTGCATACAAATTTAAGATTTTTCTGTCTTCTTTTTATCTCTGATAATATATAATATTCTTTTTTTTTTTTTTTTTTTGAGACAGGGTCTTACTATGTAATTCAGGCTGGCCTTAAACTATGTACCCCAGGCTGGCCTCCAGCTCATGACAGTTCTTCTGCCTCAGCCTCCCAAGTGCTAGAGTGTATGTACTACTATCTCTGATATTATTCTTGGTCTTAAATTCCACTTTGTCTGATATTAATATAGCTATTCCAAGTTTCCTGTCATTGTTTGCATGATATTATCTTTTTCCATCTTTTACTTTTAGCCTATGTTTTAATATTTGTGGTATGTTTATTGTATCCTTAGGTTTTGGTTTATAAAATCTAGTTTGATAACTTGTTACTATTATTTCACTTCACACCCTCTTCCCATGGTGGCTTAAGAAATGAATTCCAGCTAGGGATGTAGCTTGGGAAAGAAGTGAAAAAATAAATAAATAAATAAATAAAAGAAGTGGATTCTACCTTAAGCTTATAAAATGCTTTCATATGCATCATCATTTTCTTTCTTTCTTTTTTTTTTTTTAGTACTGGGGATCGAACTCAGGTCCTTGCACTTTCGAGGCAAGTGGCGGAACCACTGAGCTAAATCCCTGGGCCACGCATCATCATTTTCTGGAAAAAAAAAAATCTGCTAATGGAGGCCTATGTATTATACAATTTTACATGTTTTTCCTTTATTTTCAATTGTGTACTTTGTCCTTCTGGCAATTTTTTGCTGTGATTTTGTTTTGTTTTTCTGGTATCGGGAATTGAACTCAGGACCTTGCATTTGTGAGTCAGGCACAGTGCCACTGAGCTAAATCCCCGGCCCTATTTTTTGTTTTTTAATCCAGAACATTGTGGATACTAGACAAGTGCTCTACCACTGAGCTACATACCTCTGCCTTTAGCCACTTCTTAAAAATAAAATTTTTTGTTGAGAGCCAGGGATTTAGCTCAGTGGTTCTGGCACCTGCCCTGCAAGCACATGGTCCCAAGTTCGATCTCTGGTACCAAAAAAAATAAATAAATAAAATAAAATTTTTTGTTGAAATTTATCAAACTGTACAGTTTAGGTGTGTGCATATAGAAATTATATTAGAGGCTAAGCATATATCTTAGTAGTGGAACATGTGCCTGGGCATGTGTAAGACCCTGGTTTCAATCTTCAGCACGGGGGGAAAACAGCAAGAAAAGAAATTATACCTAATAAAGCTCATTAATAAAAAGAAATATATGGGGAGGGGATTTAGCTCAGTGGTGCCTCGCCTGCCTGGCAAGTGCAAGATCCTGAGTTCAATTCCTGGTACTGAGAATAAGAGAGAGAGAGAAAAATCTAAACCAGGAAGGTACCAAGCATGGTAGCATACACCTGTAATCCCAGCACTCAGGTGGCTGAAGCAGGAGGATTGCCGTGAGTTTGAGGCTAGCCTGGGCTACACAGTGAGTTCAAGACCAGCTTGGACTATACTGTGAGACCTTGTCTCAAAAAAGTTAAAAAATATAAAATAAACCTGGCATGCCGATAATCCCAATACAGCCAAAACAAACTGAAAAAACAAAACTGAAAACATCCTATCACACACATCAGTGGAATGAATATGATTAGGTTAAAGAATAAATTGAAGGCCAGGGATTTAGCTCAGTGGTGCTGAGCCTGCCTTGCAAGTGCAAGGTCCTGAGTTTGGTCCCCTGTACCAAAAAAACCCCCCACCAAAACCAAAATCAAAAAGAATAAGTTGAGCGTGGTAGTACATGCCTGTAATCCTAGCACTTAGGAGCCTGAGCAGAATCACCATGAGTTCAAGGCATGGCTGAACTACATAATGAGACCCTGTCTCAAAAAGGAAACAAATTTTTAAGAAGAAGAATAGTAAAGCTAATATCCATGTACTCACTGGTCAAATCAAGAAATTGTACCGTAGCCATCCTTTTAAAGCCCTTTGCATGCTTTACTGTATCTATTACTGAGATGCTTCTTTATAGCCTTGGCATACAGGTAATCCTATGCAACACAGGATGTAACAGTCTTAGCTGTTTTTCAACTTTAAATAGGTTCAACCAGATGTGGAGGTGCACACCTGTAATCCCTGCACTTGGGAAGCTGAGGCAGGAGCACTGAGTTTGAGGCCAGCCTGGGTTACATAGCAAGATCCTGTCTCAAAAAAAAGAATAAGAAAAAAAAACAAACCTTAAATAGGCTCATGTTTAATGTCTGCTGTGACTTGTTCCTGCTCATAATTTAAAATGTTTTAGCAGGGCGTGGTAGCACATTTGTAATCCCATTTGGGAGGATGAGGCAGGAAAATCACAAACTGTTTCCAAAGTGGCTTGTGTTAGTTTCTCTTTCTGCCAGCAGGATAAGAGTTTCTATTTCTTTACCTCCTTACTGACACCTACTTCACAGATTTGCACATTCTACCATTTCTGCTGCCTCAGTCTTCATACTGATAGGTGCTGTCCCTGTACTGAGAGCGGTGTGTGCCAGGCCCACCTCTTCCTTACAGATCCTATCTATATAATGAAAATGTCATGTAGAAAGAAGACAGTAAGTCTTTGTCCTGTCTCTCACCAATACCATTCTCCAGTGCCTGGGCCACAGCATTTTTTCCTTCCCCCTGCCTGAGTGGAGCTGAGTCCTAGCAGGGCCTCAGAACCATTCCTGGATCCCTTCCTTCTCAGGCTGCTACTCCCTTACAGTCCGACTCAGCCGCCCTGCATCTTGGGACCAGATCAGACACTACAGGATCCAGTGCCTTGACAATGGCTGGGTGTACATCTCCCCTCGCCTCACCTTCCCCTCACTCCAGGACCTGGTGGACCATTACTCTGGTATGGCCTTTCTTGCCTCCCTCAAAGACTGGATGAGGGGTCTAGGGGGGTAGGCAGTTGCACCCTTAGACACTTGACCTGCTGGCGATTATCCATACAGAAGAGCAACCCTATCTCCATGCCAGTCCCTGTGCTGTGACAAAATGGGCACCTGGTCTTCATCCCACACTGACAGAGGAGCTACAGGCCAGCCTTGGACTCAGCCAGTGCCTCATCCACCAGTTGTTTTGAATCAGTGCCCAGGAGCAGGCAGAGTTCTCTCTCCAATTCTGACTCTTAGCATTTCCTGGGCCTGTTGTACAACAGACACTGGAAGATGTGGTCGTCAGGGCAGTGTCAGGCAGAAGGAAAGACCACTCTTAGGAAACTGGCCAAGTTGCTCCACAGAATGGATACCAACAATGCTACATGCAGACACAACATTCCTTAGCTTTCTTTTCTTCCCAAAGAACTTTCTTAACAGAGGCCACAGAGGTCCACCAGTCTCCCCAAGTGAATGCAGTCTCCTCAAACTTACCACAGAATGACCTTTGAGTGGATCTCAGCCTCCATAACAACTTGAGGCCATGTCCGGTTACTCTAGGGACCATGCCCCAACCTGCCAAGTATGGAAAGCTGCCGGGGGCGGGGGGCAGGGGGGGAGAAGTAGGGTTGTATCAGCAATGTCAAAGGTCCATTTCTCTTCCTCAGAGCTGGCAGATGACATATGCTGCCTCCTCAAGGAGCCCTGTGCCTTGCAGAGGTGTGGCTCACTCCCTGTCAAGGACATACCCCTACCTGTGACTGTGCAGAGGACATCACTCAATTGGAAAGAACTGGACAGGTGAGGGGACCCCTGGAAAAATGAAGCAGAACAAAGGCAGCATTAGGAGCCACCTCTGGGAACATACAACACAAAATGGGAGTGTATGGCCGGCTAGGGATTTAGCCCAGTGGTTCCACCGCCTGCCTCGAAAGCACAAGGTTCCGAGTTTGATCCCTGCTACAAAAAAAAGAAAAGAAAAAAAAGGGGGCCCTGTAGTGCTTAGGGACAGTTGGGCCAGAATTGTCTGACTAGAGCCCTGCCAAGCTCAGCAGGCAGGGCAGGAGGGTGACTCTGGGAGGACAAAGTAAGTGTGGACCTCAAGGGAGGCAGGGTAGAAGGTTGGAAAGGCTGGAGACCTGAGTGGGGAGGTCAAGGTAGGGTTTGATCTGATAGGGAAGAGATCCTGTTTGTCAGGAGTAACACGGAGATGTTTTGAGATCAAGAGCTGTGTGCGGGCAGGTGTCTCCCTCACTCATTGCTCCCAACCTCCACTCCACAGCTCCCTCCTGTTTTCTGAAGGACCTACCACCGGGGAGGCATCTCTTCTCAGCGAGGGTCTCCGGGAGTCCCTCAGCTCCTACATCAGCCTGACTGAGGTTGTCTCCTTGGATGATGCTGAGGTCAAAAGCAGAGGTCGGAAGGGGAACCAAGGCTGTAGCACCTAGAAGGCCAACTTGGCTCAAGCTGAGCACCCTGGAAACAAGGCTGTGTACACTCTGAGGGGAGGCCTGGGACACAGGTGCATCCAGGGTTCCACCCGACCTTCTGCTTCTTCCTCTCGGCCCTAAAAAGTCACTTACCTCCTCCCCTGGCCATGACCCTGCCTGCAACTTCTAGTTGGAGTGCAGGGCAGTTGGGAGCAGGATCAGGGCTCCAGAAGAGAATAAACTTCCACTGGGCTCATTAGGTCCTGGTGAGTCCCATTCTGCATGCTATTAACCAGCCCTACGTACAATGTGAGAAGTCACCACTAACATCAAGGAGAAAAAATAATTTTAGAAAATTGACAGGTCTCAGAACATCAACACACCTTGGAGGGCGACTGTGGCCCAGAAGGAGAAGGAAACAAGTGGTGGGTGACTGATCACAACAGCAGATCCTGGGTTTCCGCCTCCACCTGACCTCCAGAACAAGCAGGACCACTTAAAATCCAGGTCCTCAAATGTTCCCTGCAAGCCCCTTCTCTGGACAGCCCCAGCTTTCAGATGTTTCATTTTGTAGCTTATTCAAAAGCAGCCAAGTTCTCCCATCTCCCTGGCCTAGCCATCTTGTGGCCAAATACGAAATGACACCTCTTCCCCTCCCCTCCAACCCACAGGGTCTCACTATGTAGCTCACACTTGTCCCTTGCCTCAGTCTCCCAAGATTATAGGTGTGCACCACCACACCTGGCTCAAAGTGACACCAGTTGAGCCTAACACACTGTAGGTGAGCGCAGAGTGCAGTGTGCAGGGCAGGGGCATGGGAAAGTAGTGAGCCCATTCTCCACAGTGCACCCAGGCACAGCCTGATTTCCCTGGTGCCCACAAAGAAATAGAGGCCTGGGTGGAGTGGCAAAGGGAGCACAGAGGGAAAGAAGCTATCACCTCTGATGCTGCTCTGAGGCAGTGAGGTGGGAAAGGGTTTATCAGGTATCATCAACAGGTTCTCATTAAAGATTTGTTTATTCAAGTATCTGAAAACATTCTACAATGGAAACATTAGCTGCTGTTTGTACTATGCTATGGACCACACACATCCTGCCACACTGTTTTCAGAAGGCTTGAAATGCCACTGATAGTTTAAAAACTGTACACCGGATAGAGAACTAAGGAAGACAATTTAATGTTTCATCCAGAGGTGCATCAAATTAAATGACAGGTTCACTTGCAAATAGCTGTTACATGATGGTATCCAAAAAACAGGTGGTGATGGATAAATTCAGAAATGCTTTCCTCAAAGCGGATGATTCTTTAGAAAGTTTCGGGTCATGGCCCTTGCAGAAAACACGTGATGCCCAACATTCTAATTCTTGGTCCAGGAAACATGGGTCTTCCAGGTTCCATGTGGCTGGGGTGCCCCAATAATCATTTTTCTGTGCTGTAATTAAGAGGGTCCTTTGGACTGGACAGAAACCAGGTGGGAGCTGTCCACTATCAGTCATAGTGGATGGCAGTGTAAAAGATGATCCAAATGACCTAGAGGGGAGACAAGCAATGCTTACAGGTTACCAATTCCACAAAAGGAGGATGTGCACAGAGGGTACTTCCCAGCTGCCACCCAATGCACAACCCACTGGGAAGCCTAAGTTATTTCACTGAACTCTGGCTGTCTCTAACAAAGTTTGGGACAGCCCACCTATGCTCCCAAAGGGATGATCTGACAACTCCTTGCCCTCACCACCCTGGCCCTAGGGAATGGAGGTATAGATGTGGAATCAATACACATAAGGCTGTGTTGCCTCAAGTTTGAGGGCAGCCTGGGTTACACACGGAGACTATCTCAAAAAAACAAAAAAAAAAACCCAGACAGCCAAACATGGCAGCCCTGACCTATAATCCCAGCTGCCTCACTGAAAGTTTGAGGCCAGCCCAGGCAATTTAGCAAGACTCAGTTGCAAAATAAGAAAGGGGTGAGGGGCTGGGGATTTAGCTCAGTGGTTCTGCCACCCGCCTCACAAGCGCAAGGTCCTGACTTCGATCCCCGGTACCAAAAAAAAAAAGGGGTGAGGATGTAGCTCAGTGCTTCTTGGGTTCAACACACACACACGCACGCACGCACGCACGCACACAGGTAAAATAAGTGCCAGGTGTGTAATCCCAGTACTCGAGAGGCTGAAGCAGGGGAGGTTTGACACCAGCCTAGGCTACATAGTGAGTTCAAGGCCAGTCTTAACTCCAAAGCAACATCCTGTCTCAAAAAACCAAAAAATTAAAACAAAAACAAACGAGAAACACCAAAAACAGATGCCCTGATACCACTTCTCAGTGTTTATTGGTTTGGGATAGGTATGGACACATATGGGTATGTGTATAATTTTTATTTCGAGGCAGAGTCTTGCTATGCTGCGCAGGCTAGCCTCAAACTCACCATCAGCCTGCCCAAGGCTCCCAACCAGCTGGGATCACAGACATGCACCATGCCCAGCTTTGAATTTCTGTAAAACTGAAATTCACATTCTATAAAGTCTGAACTTTTTAAAAGTGTGTAACTCAGAATTTTTTTATTTGTTTTGAGGCAGGGTCTCACTATGTAGTTTAGGCTGGACTTGAACTCACTATGTAACCCAGGTAAACCTTGAATTTATGGTGATCTTTCTGCCTCAGTCTCCCAAGTGCTGGGATTACAGGTGTGCACCACCACACCTGGCCAGAAATTTTTAGTATATTCATAAAGTTGTGCCAATATAACCACTGATTCCAAAATATCACTCCAAAAAGAAAGCTTGTTCCCATGATCAATTTTTACTTCCTATTTCTGCCTTCCCTCAGCCACTGGCAACCACTAATCTTTGTCTCCATAGACTTGTCTATTTTAGGACATTTCACATCAACAGGGATTGAACTGGGGATTGAACCTAGATCCTACGTACCAAGCTATATCCCCAGCCCTTTAAAAAATTTATTTTGAAACAGGCTCCTAAATTGCTTGAGCTTTCAATCCTCCTTCCTCAGCCTCCCAGAGTGCTGACATTACAGCATTATGCCTTTCATATATGGTTTTTTGTGTCTGGATTCTTCCACTTATCATGTTTTCAAGGTTGTAGTACGTATCAAAACTTACATCCTTTTCTCTCACTGCCTGTAGAATTTTGTTCTTCTGTTGGATTTCTGGAATCCTAACTATTATATGCCTATGTGTAGATTTTTTTTGATTAAGGCTAGCTGGAGTCCTATATGCCTCACTTATCTGTATGTCAAGTTCTTTTCCCCTCCTTGGGAAGTTTTCTGCCATCACTTCTGTGAACAGTTTTTGTATGTCATCTGGACTCTCTCCTGTTTCTTCCTTGACTCCAATCAGTCTTATGTTATTCTTCTTTGGATTGTCTAGCAGCTGCTGGATTGCTTTCTCGTGTTCCCTTACAATTTTAAAGCAATTTTTCTTTTCCTGGTCACTAATTGCAATCTTATCTTCTATATGTGAACTTCTATCCTCACATTGGTTCATTCTGCTGCGCAGACTTTTGATGGAGTTTTTAATCTCTTGGAAATCTGTATCTGTTTTATGGATTCCATTTGTTTCCTTATGTTGGGATTCCATCATGTTCCTCAGATCCTCTATTTTATCTGTGTCCTCTCTAGATTTATTAATCATGTCTTGCACCATGAGCAAAATCTTTGCTGTCATCTGAGTAATTATTTCTGATTTCATTTTTCCCAGATCCTCTTTTGTTTCCAGTTCAGAGAGTCCAGGTGGTTGAGTATCAGATTGTTCCATCTCGTTTCCCTTCGGGCTTGCTGTAGGTGATCTGGAACTGTTTTTGAGGCTTGTTTATGTGTCTTCTCATTTCCACGGGGGTGTGTGTGTGCGCTTCTGGCGCCCATGCGGCTCACCTTCTCTGCCCTAGGAGCTTGGGATGGCGGAAAACTTACATCCTTATTATGGCTAAATAATATTCTACATCAGGGGATGGCTATTTGAGTTTTTTGTATTTTTTATCTATTATGAATAATATATTAAAGGTTTTCCAGTTTCTAATATGTAGCCAGGCCAAGGTTTGGTATCAGATAAAGGAGCTGACAATGGGCCCTGGATTTGCACATTAATAGACTCTATTAGCCCCCTATATAGTATTACATCTGTTAGTGTAACAGATGATGGGCTGAGGGCAAGGACTGTCAAGTTCACCTGATCAAGTGCAGTGGCAGACACATCCAGAATGATCTCCGCTGAGGAATCATGCAGGGGCCCATGCTGCTAATACATTGTTGTATTAGCCCATCTGTAGAGTATCCCACCCCACATCTTCTGGGACAGCCTGGCTCAAGAGAAGCTATGCACTCCAACCTCAGGAGCCTTCTGAAAACAATGACACCTCAATCACATATCTTAATGCATTTACTAGGCTCCCCTTGAATGAATGACATCTCATGAAAGGAACAGAATCTGCTGTAGAACTACCAGGTACACATACCATGAACAAAGCAAAAGATGTCATAAACCCTTCTTTTGTGAGTTCCCACGTGCCGCCATACTCTTCCTCATCAATCTGTAGGTAGTTGCTGAAGTAGAGGTACAGGACTCCTGCATTGATCAGGCAGAATCTGGAGCAATGGAGGACAGACACCAAACAAACTGTAAGCTTGGCAGACTCAAAGCTCCCACCACACTGTTTAGCTATTAGAGCGTACTGTCCTACAGTTCATTGTTTGCATGTGTCTCCCACCAGGCAGGGGTGACCCGGACAGAAAGAAGCTTCAAGCTCAGGAAGATGGGCTTTATGAATTCTGTTCATTGTTATCAGGATATGTGCCAGTCTCTTGCCAGGAGCCTCAGTTCCCTCATCTATAAAATGGGGAGGCTGAAGAATATTATGGCATCAAGAGCGGTGAAATAATACACAAAAGCTGGGTGTGGTGGTGTATGCCCAAAATAATATGCAAAAATGGCTAGGTTCTCAAAAAGAGCTCACCTGGATGAACTAACGATTTAAAGCAGGAACAACCATTTTTAGTGACCCAGTGAAAGCAACAAATAAACATTTAAGTACAGCTCAGCAGGCCTGGGATTTAGCTCAGTGGTTCCAGCACTCGCCTTGCAAGTGAAAGGTCCCGAGTTTGATCCTCAGTACCAAAAAATAAAAAATAAAGTATAGCTTAGTGAACCTGGCATGGTGGTGCATGCCTGTTACTGGGAGACTGAGGCAGGAGGATTGCCATGAATTTGAGGCCACCCTGGGCTACACTGAGTGCAAGGCTAGCCTAAACTATGTAGCAAGACTCTCTCAGAAACAACAAAAAGTATAGCTCACTGACAAAGTCCTTGCCTGGTGTGCACAGGGCCTTGGCTTAGATCTCCAATACCATAAAAAATAACATATACTGATATATTCTCCAAGCTCCCTGAAGTAAAACAGAATGGCTGCTGAGCCACCCCAAACAGAAACTATACCAAACATGGCCTTCCACATAGCCCCAGATGAGGGGCCACTGTGGGACAAATGTATTAAATGACTCCTTTATGGACTAATAAAACACGAAGCAGCATGGGCCCCTACATGATTCCTCAGTGGAGATCATTCTGGATGTCTGCGTCTGCCACTGCACTAGATCAGGTGAATCTGATAGTCCTTGCCCTCAGCCCATCATCTAGTAGGGACAAAGAATAGCAACAGCCAGGTGTGGTGGTACACACCTGTAATCACAGCACTTGGGAGCCTGAGGCAGCAAAGATAGAAGTGAGTTTGAAGATAGCCTGAACTACATAGTGAGACCCTATCTCAAAGCAAAACAAAACAAAATAAAACAGAAACACAGCAACAAAAGTGGAAGTGAAGCCAGAAGTCTGTGGACATCTCCAGGAAAGCCTCCCCAACTATTTCTTTTTTTGTTTCACATCTGTTTTTATTACTGCATACTGGTTATACAGATTTTTGTACATGCACATAACATACTTCCAACATTTTCACTTCCCCTATCACCCTCCTTGCCATGCTCACCCCTCCCAGAAAGTCTTTGACCCCATAATGGATTTAGCTCATGTAGGAACTGGAATGCAGTGAGGAGAAGCATAATAACCTACTCTACTCATCTCTTGGTTTCATGAAGTGATCAAGACTTTCCAGTGGTCTTTCCAGTTACTGCACCCATGTAAGGAGGTACTGAGTGTCTCAGGCCACGTCTCATCTGAAGGCAGAGGTGGAAAATGCAAAGGCTCTGTGGCAGGGAGTGTGCTTATTGTGCACAAGGCCAAGAGTTCAATCCCCAGTGGCAAAAGAAAAACGCAAAGAGAACAGGCTCTGGCCAGTGGATGAAGGGGGCTGGTGTAGGGCTGTGTAGTGGAGCCTGACAGGAGTCTGTATCAGCATGAGGGGCTGGGGAGAGCCTGAGGCTGTGTCAGCAAGCTGGGAAGGATATGAAGCTTCGGGAGTTAGCTCATAAACGTAAGGACTTTCTTGAGAGCAGAAGCAGCAGGGGTCTTGGGGGGGGGTGGAATAAAATAAAATTTATTAAAAAAAAAAATCATGGGTGAGGAAGTCTGGTTTAGACTTGTAGATGCCACACATTTCAGGACATGAGAACAAATGTAGTTTGTAGGACAGGGACAGGGCAAGTGGCTGAATAAGGAGGTAAAAAGAGCCAAAAGCTTCAAGCCTGGGAGTACAATGGTTCCAGTAACAGAGGCAGGGAGTAAGGAAGAACAGAAGGTTTTTCTTGGATTTCACACAGAATAGTTCTTTTTTTTTTTTGGTACTAGGGATTGAACTTGGGACCTTGTGCTTGCAAGGCAGGCGCTGGAACCACGGAGCTAAATCCCCAGCCCCAAAATATAGTTCTTGACTTGGCCACATCTTTACCTCTTGCCAGAAATCTTGGGATCCAGCCAAACCCAGCCACTTCCTTCTGACAGGAACTAAGTTTTTGGACAGGCCAATTTAGAGGCTCTAGCTATAGATTACTCATGGGAGCTGCAAATGCCTTAATCCCAGGATCATACACCCTATATCCAGCCACCTCTGAAAAACCCAGCCTGTGACCACATGAGGCTTTTGGGGGGACATCTAGTCACAAGCTATAATAGCAGCGCAGGGCAAAGTCCATCCCCTCCTGTCTCTGGATCTCTTTCAGAGCTTAGCACATGGTTTAGTAGGTACTCGTAGAATGCTTCTTAAACATCTGTTTTTTGTATTTTGCCCCTTTTTTTGGTACTGGGAATCAAACTCGGGTCCTTCTGCTTGCAAGGCAGGAGGCAGAACCACTGAGCTAAATCCCCAGTCCTGTTTTTTTTTTTTGTACCAGGGATCAAACCTAGGACCTTGCTCTTGGGAGGCAGGCTTCGGTACCATGGAGCTAAATCCCCGGCCCTAGGCTGGCTTTCAACTTGTGGTGATCCTCCTGCCTTAGCCTCCTGAGTGCTAAGATTACTTAAACATTTTTTAAAAATACAATTGGGCTGGGTGTGGTGGTGCAGCCTGTAATCCCAGCCCTCAGGAGGCTGAAGGAGGAGAATCAACATGAGTCCCAGGCCAGCCTGGGCTACATAGTTTAAGGCCAACCTGAACTACATGGTGAGACCCTGTCTCAAAAATGAAAGTTCCTGGGCTGGGGATTTAGTTCAGTGGTTCTGGCCGAAAGCACAAGGTCCTGAGTTTGATCCCTGGTACCCACCCCCCAAAAAAAGAAAGTTCCTTTGACTATTGAAAAGAGAGTATTACATTACTGTTGACATGTAATTTTCCAGCTCTGAGGCCTGTTATTTGTTAGAGATTCATTGTCTTTTTTTTTTTCTTCCTACTGGGGATCTGACTTGGGTCCTCACACTTTCAGGGCAGGCAGCGGTACCACTGAGCTAAATCCCCAGCCCTCATTGTCTTTTAACTCCAGTCTCTGGGATGGATCGATTGATTGATTGATTTTGTACTAGGGCTTGAACTTAGGGGCTTCATACTGAGTTACATCCCTATCCCTTTTTTTTTCTTTTTTTTTAAATTCAGGACCTTGTGCTTTAGAGGAAGATGGCAGAACCACTGAGCTAAATCCCTGGCCTCCTTTTCTATTTTTGAGACAGGATCTTGCTGAGTAATGAAATCATGCAGGCTGGCCTCAAACTTGTGATTCTCCTGGCTCAGTCTCCCAGAGTGCTGGGATTTACAGGCGTGCACTACCACACTTGGCTTCTCTCATTTATAAAATAAAAATTGTGCCAAGTATGGTAGCACACACCTATAATCCCAGCACTCTGGGAGGCTGAGGCAGGAGGATTACAATATTGAGTCCAGCTTGGGCAATTTAGTAAGAGCCTGTCTCAAAAAAATAAGGAAAGGGGGCTAGAGATGTAGCTCAGTGAGAAAGCCTTCAGTTCAATCCCTAGTACCACCCTCCAAAAAAAGGAGGAAGGAAGGAGGGACGGAAGGAGCAAGAAAAGAAGGGAGGGAGGAGATTTAGGATCTGTTTGAATACAGGAGAAAGGATACTGAACTAACTCTGGTCCTTGCTAGATTACCAGATTCGGTGACTTTAGAGAAATACCTTAAAAATCTTGCAAGATTAGATGGTGTAGGGGTTCTGAACTAGTATTATTCCTTCCTTAGACTAGTGGCCCTGGAAAATGAGAAACAACCTCTTGCCTTTAGGTTGGCCTCCTTTTCTCTGGAATCCTCTAACTTTTCTTTCACAGACTGTGGAGATGGGGTGATCAAGATTCTAAAAATGTATCTGTATGTCATCTCCCACCTGGGGAGACCTTTATGAATGCCAGGTCCTGTGTCATATCACACTCAACCAGTCTTTTTAAGTGTCTACTCTGTCAAGTTCACAGCATAAACTCTTTCTGGTTTCCTCACTGCACTTAATATCATCCATCAAAAATCCTTTTTAATTAAGAGAAGGAATTATATGGCATATAGGATAGTCTCTGTGTTGATCCTCCTTACCCCTCTGCCACTTTTTTTGCAGTACATTAAACCGAGAACCACATCCTCAGCTCTTTTTGTTACTTTGAGACAGGGTCTCACTAAATCATTTATGTTTCCCAAGCCACAGTTGAACTTGTGAGCCTTCTGCTTCAGCCTCCTAGACTGCTAGGATTATAAGCATAGTTTTGCTTTCTGTAGTTTTAGTTACCCCTGGTCAACTATGGTTGGAAGGGCTGGGGATTTAGCTCAGTGGTTTCGCTGCCTGCCTCACAAGCACAAGATCCTGAGTTTGATCCTCAGTACCAAAAAACAAACTATGGTCTGAAAATATTAAATGGGAAATTCAAGAAATAACAATATATAAGGTTTAAATATAAGGTTAAATATGTAAGGTTTAAATGGCACATTGTTTGAAGTAGTGTGATGAAATCTCGTGCTGTCCTGCTTCATCCTGCCTAGGATGTGTCATCCCTTTGCCCAGCAGATCCATGCTGTAAATGCTACTTGTGTTAGTCACTTAGTGGCTATCTCCATTACTGAAATGACTGGGCAGTATCACAGTGATGGTACTCAAGTAACCCTAATTTTACTTACAATGGCCCCAAAGAGCAAGAATAGTGATGCTGGCAATTTGGATATGCTGTAGAGAAGCTGTGAAGTGCTTCCTTTAAGTATCATCTCAGCCAGGTATGGTGGCTTTAGGGAGGTTGAAGGAGGAGCAATGTGACTTCAAGGGCAGTATAGGCTACATAGTGAGTTCAAGGCCAGCCTGGATTATATGGTAAAACCTTGTCTCAGAACAAACATACAAACAAAAAGTAAGTGAATATCTTGCATTTTCACTGGAAGAAAGGAAGTAGAAGACAATAAGGTTGATCTCTCAATTTAAAAAAAAGACAATAAGGTATCTTGAGAGACCACATTCACATAATGGCTGTATCATTCTTTAGTTCTATTTTATTAGGAGTTACTGTTAATCTCTCACTGTGCCAAATTTGTAATTTAAAGTTTATCATAAATAAGTATAGAAAAAACATAGTAATATAGGGTTTGGTACTTTCCATGATTTCTGGCATCTATTAGGAGTCTTGGAATATGAGGTACGATAGAAAAATATAGTGGATATAAAATCTTTAAAATTTATTACAGTAAAAGCTACATTACCATCAATTTCCATTATACTTCTCTTTGCCTCAAACACACTTATCCCATCGTTCCTGACACTGGGAATAGTTCTGGAAGTTAGCTGCTCTATAATTCATGTTTGCCTTGATGTTGTCAATCAATTCAAAATGTTTACCTTTTACAATCATTTTGACTTTGGGGAAAAGCCAGAAGTCTCATGGTGCCAGATCTGATGAATAAGGTGGATGAGGACACACCATCATGTTTTTACATGCCTGCCTTTTCGCTGGATGGCACACGGAAGCAGTGCTCATTGCACCTGTAAAGTCACTCATGAAAGGAAACTGGTAGAACAGCTTCAAAAAGTGGCAAGAGTGATGGGATAAGTGTTTGAAGCACGGAGGATTCTGAAGAGGGTTGATGGCAATGTGTCTTTTTTTTTTGGTACTGGGGACTGAACTTGGGACCCCTGCACTTGCGAAGCAGGCGCCAGAACCACTGAGCTAAATCCCCGGCCCAATGTGTCTTTTAATGTAATAAAATTTTAAAATCTAAACATTCACTCATATGTCCCCTGTGGATAAGGTGGGGACTAATGTACATTCCTTTTAGGTTATCTTCTTTTTTTTCTTTTAGGTTATCTTCTGAGAAAACAGGCAACTCAAGTGTATGTATTTCATCTTTAGTCCCTAAAGGAAATGGAATAGTACGAGATATGATCACCCTTAAAAGAACTGATGTAGGGCTGGGGATTTAGCTCAGTGGTTTCACCGCCTGAGGCCAAAGCTCAAGAACCCGAGTTTGATCCCCAGTACCAAAAACCAAAAACCAAAAAAAGGAACTGATGTGGTTTTTCACTGGGGGGAGGGCAACCACTAGTATTCCATGCACGAGAAGAGAAAACGCAGAGTCCTCCATTTCCAAAATAGTGCACACTCTTTTAAATCCAATCTGATGGGCATAAAGCCTCACTTTCAGTAGTGTGTTAACAGACCAGGGCCTGGCATCAAGTGTACTGCCACTGGGCAGGGGAATACAATACAACACGTGAGGCCCAACCACCTGCTCTGGGGCTGCTCTTAAAATGCAGGAATCTGACAGGGTCTTGCTATGTAGGTCAGGCTGGCCTTGAACCTGCAGCGATCCTCCTGCCTCAGCCTCCCTAATGTTTGGGATTACAGGCATGCGCCACTATGCCCAGCCTGATGTATCTTCTGCCAAAGCCAAGATTCAGCAGATCCAACAGAGTGGCAGGCACAAGGAAGACGGCCATTCAGCACAGAAGTTCTATTTCCCAAATTTCCACAGGTACAGATCACAACAGAATTAAGAGTACATACTCCAGGGCCAGGGATTTAGCTCAGTGGTTCTGCCGCCTGGCTTGAAAGTGAAGGACCTGAGTTTGATCCCCGGTACCAAAAAAAAAAAAACAAAAAACAAAAAAACAGTAAGAGTACATACTTCAAGGGCCGGGGATTTAGCTCAGTGGTGCCCCTGCCTGCCTCACAAGCGCAAGGTGCCAAGAGTACATACTCCAACAAGTACTATGGTAGCATCTTTCGTAAAGTCACTTTAGGGTCATGAATGAATGGACTGGCCTAAGCCTTCAGGAAGGTAGCCTGCCTCACCTGAGATGTTCCTGAGTCTGATGAACTGAGCACTGCTGCAACAGACTCAGGTGAGCAAGCTGTTATGGAGCCCACTTCTGTCATTACACACAAGGTGTCTAACTTAAAAGTGGCAATGGCTTTTTCCATAAACAGAAAACATAAACCTCTTTAAAAAGAGACGAAGAGCTAGGTGTGGTGGCTCATACCTGTAGTCCCAGTACTCAGGAGGGTGAGGCAGAAGGATCACTGCGAGTTTGAGGCCAGCCTGGGCTACACAGTGAGTTCAAGACCAGCTTGGACTACATATTGAGACACTGTCTCGAATATCTCCAAACCCCTCCCCCAAAAAGAGCAAAAGAGAGATGAAACCATGAAAACACATGCTACCCAAGACTTACCCTGCTATTCCTAAAAAACCTCGCAATGGCAAAACTCCCCAAATGACACCCAGGACCACAGCGATGATCTGTCGGAACCAGTAGATCACATCTAAAAATTCATCCTGTAGAAGACAGGCAATGAATATATTACCTGGAGTGGGTGCCACAGGGCAGCTATTAGTGGGGAAACAGAAAAGTTTGCTGCTAAATGTATCTTTCTGGGAACTTTTCCCCAAAAGCAATGGTATGTAGCTCTTGCATCACTGCTTAGAGTAAAATGTGGTTAGAAACAAATATTTAGACATCTTAAGTTATTACTTCCAGATCCTGTGTTTTAGGTCAAAAGTTCAGAGAAATCTTTACCTCTTTTGAGAAACTGTGTAATGAAATGGCTCTAATAACTGCTACTGGCCACAGGTAACTCTTAGCTGACCAGGAAGACCTAGACAGTCCTTAGGCAAAACTGCTGATACTTACCTGTACCTCCTTTCAGTACACTAAATTTTGAGTAATTCACAGAGCAAAGAAAGGATTAAGAAAAAAAGTGCTGGAGGCAGGTGCCAGCACACCTAAATTTTATAAGACACAGGAAACTAAGGTTTCTGAATTGCCCTGTATTACCAGTCCTTATACCAGGGAAAGAAAAGAAATGACACAGCAGATCACAAACAGACTGCAGGTTTTGCAAGAGCTGGGCAGGGCTGGGGGCAGGCCAAGAGAACCTTCAGGAAGCGCCTCCCATCCCCCTTTACTGGAACTCAGGAAAGAAACCCCAACTTCAGCAGCGCGGAAAAACAAAAGAAGGACTGCAAATGTAACACTCAAGTCAACTGCAATCAAGCTGCTTGATCACCCCCTTCCAGATCATGGAACTGAGGTGTGTCCACACTCAAGATCCTCTGAATGTGACCAGCAAGAACATCCTGAAGTCCCAACTATTTCTTACACACATCCAGTGGGGCATTTCTTCCTCTCTCACACACACTCGCCACAGAAAGTACAGCACTGTCTTTCCCATTCAACAACCAAGCGATGGCAGTTCACCATTAGCAAACTTCACTATGTGCTAAATGCTTTAATGCACCACGGCATCCCCACTTCAGGGCTGGTCTGAGAATTCAACTCAGTGGGACTGTGCACAAACAGCACCTGGCACAGAGTATCCAGTCCAAGTCTGGCACCATTACTGTTTGTGCTAAGATTCTACTGGGGTGAAAGGAGACCCAATCGAATTCAGCTCACTCACGTCCTGCAGACAACACACCCAGCCTGCGGATAACAATGCTTTTGCTCCCACCTGCCTGATTCGGCGCGACCTAGTGGCTTCACTCTTGGGCAAGCCCGCCAAGTTCGCCCTCGCGCCCTTGCGCCATCCGCCCCACCACCCCAGCACCCCACTTCACCGCGCCCGGACCGTGTAGGGGCAGGCCCGGGCCAGTCCTCCCGTCCCCCAAGTACCAGCCGGATCCTCGAACCTACGCTCTTGCCAGGCCCCCCGCACCTTGTCCTCCCAGGCCGCGTCGCTGCGCAGCACCTTACTCCAAACAGAGATTTTGAGGGCCCCGTTGGCCAGCTGCGGCTGAGGCGGCTCCTCCTTCCGCCGCCCGCCGCTCATCCTCCCGTCGCGCCGCCCGGGTCCGGTCTGGGGCGCGCGGGCCGAGCCAAAGCGAGTCGGGGTCTGGGGTCGCGCGGGTCACGGCACGCGAGACGGCGGCGACAGGAACAGGATCGGCACACCGCTGCCCCGTCGCTAGGCTAAGCGGCGCGGCTCGGCTCACTCCCCAGAGCAGGCGCCTCGGAGAGAGGGGTAGCGCCGCGCCGCGCGTCCGGTCGCCGACGTGCCCACGCAGCCAATCGGCAGCCCAGCAGCCGAGGGAGCGAAAGAGCCCCCGTCGCTTAGGTGAAAACGACATGTGCGTAGCGGAAGTGACGTCGAGCTTCCGCCCAGCGTGCGAAATGGTGAGGGGCCTAACACTTGGCGGAAGGGATCACGCAGCGCGAGGAGGCGCTGTGGCGACTGAAGAACTCCGGCTGAGGCGAAAGTGGAGGCTGGATGTGAGCGTAGTCCAGTGCCCATCCCCAGGCGGCCACAGCTCGTTCTCTGGAGCCGCAGCCTTGAGTCCTGCTCAAGACCAGACCGTGCTCCCCAGAACCCTAAGCTGCCCCTCAGGATTCAGCCTGCTGTTTCCCCTGAGGTGCAAAATTTTGTAGAGACGTGTTCAAGATGTTAACTCTTTTCTATAATAGCGAAGCGTCTCCTTTTACCCAACACTTTTTTTTTTTTTTTTTTGGTACCGGGGTTCGAACTCGGGTTCTTGTGCTTGCGAGGCAGGCAGCAGAACCACTGAGCTAAATCCCCAGCCCTGCCCAGCACTGTTTTGACAAATGTGAGACACCAAGAGGAGAAATTATTTTCTAAGGCAAGTTGGAACCAACTCAGGACTCTTCTGGGGGAAATAGAAAATACTTTCCGAATGTTGACCTATTGGATCCTCCCTGTGTGCTAGGTAGGTCAGTGGTTCACAAAAAGTCCCTGTATTTGTGGGTCAGCAGCAGCAACTTAATAGAGCTGCAATTCTCGGACCCTTTCAGAAATTCTGGGGATAAGGCTCCTCTCGGTGTTTTTGTAGTTGTTTTGGTTTTTGTTGGTTGTTGAGATAAGTTCTTGCTACAGGCTGGCCTTGAACTTGCCGTGAATCTGCCTCACGGTGCTGGGATTACAGGCCTGTGCCACCACACCAGGCTTGTCAGTGTTATATTAAGCCTTCCAGGTGGTGCCATGCACGGTGCTGCATGGTAAATTGAGAGACCAAAACACATCACTTCTGTGGAAAGTAACTTGTCCAGAATCACTCCACTAGTTCCTTGGTCTACCTGACTGAAATCTGTGCTCTTAACTTGTAAGCTCTAAGTCTTAAAAGAGTATCAATCAGGTCAGAAGCTCTTTTGCATGTTTGTCTACAGTCACCAGTAGTTCTTCACTTTAGGAGTAGTTAGTTTTCCAGGATACAAGACCTGGTGCTTTCCATGCTAATCCCACTCCTAAAATCTTGTTTCAGAAGATTGAGTGGGGCTGAACCTCAAAGATGTTACACACTGTAGCAGACTTTGCTGTCTGGAATGAGGGAAGGGCCAAATTTTTTTTTTTGTAGGGGGATCAGGGGTCGAACTTGGGTCCTTCTGTTTGCACAGCAGGCGGCAAAACCCCTGAGCTAAATCCCAGGCCTCAGGGCCAAATGTTTGATATGGGTGCAAACCTTTAATGCTAATTTTCACAATCTTGTTTTTTTCAGCCTTGCAAATTTCCTGAACCAGTTTCTCTCCCATATGCAACAGTAAAGCTTAACCAACTTATTCTACTTTGGAAAATATTATTGGTACAAATCACTTTTACAGACTCTGTGTGGCATATAGTTCTGGAACAAAATGATCATGTCATACAGTGTTGGAAGAATGCTTAACCTGTGCCACCTGTAATCCCAGCACTCAGGAGGCTGAGGCAGGAGGAGTGCTGTGAGTTCAAGGTCAGCAAAAACTATATAGCAAGATCCTGCCTAAAAAGAAAAAAAAAGAATGCTTAACCTATGACCAAATGGTAAATTTTCAATCTACTGAGTCTGGAAGTGAAGATGTATAATGAATCTGATCTGGGTGGATTAGGGAAAAACAACGTTAAAACAAGAAAATAAGCTGGGCATGGTGTTGTAGGCCTATCATGCCAGCACTCGGGAGGCTGAGATAGGAAGATCACACAAGTGAGTTCGAGTTCGAGGCAAGCCTGGGCTATATAGTGAGACCCTATCACAAACAAAAGAGAAAGAAGAGGAAATGGGAAGGGAAGGGGAGAGTGCATGCAAGGAGTTGAAACCATGTGAGCTAACAGTAATGAAGCCATGAGTGGGATGGGAAGAGTCATGCTGAAGGATGTTATGTATCCCAGGAGTTGGGAAAGCTAAGGAAAAGATTTGAGCAGGTAAAGTGATCAAGTTTGCATCTTACAAAGATTACTCTGGGGCTGGGGATACAACTTGATGGTAAAGGGCTTGTCTAGTGTGTGCAAGGCCCTGGGTTCAATTCCCAGCACTGCCAAAAATAAATAAATAAATAAAATAAAGGACTGGGCTGGGGATTTAGCTCAGGGGTGCCACCACCTGCCTTGCAAGCGCAAGGTCCCAAGTTTGATCCCTGGTACCAGAACAAAAAACAAAAACCAATAATAAAGGACTGAGGCCAGGCATGGTGGCTCATGCCTGTGATCCTAGCACTTGGGAGGCTGAGTCAGGAAGTTTGCCACAAGTTTGAGGCTAGCCTGGGCTACATAGTGAGTTTGAACTATAGCCAACCTGAGCTATATAGTGAGACCTTTTCTCAAAAAAACCAAAAAATAAAAATAAAGAAACAAACCAAAAAATAGGGGCTGGGGATTTAGCTGAGTGGTTCTGCTGCCTGCCTCACAAGTGCAAGGTCCGTGTCAGGTAAAAGGGCCGAAGACCAAGACCAGACCAGGCCACAACAAGCCTTTATTAGGGGAATAGATCTGCCAGGCTGTCTCTGAACAAAGGAGAGACAAAAGCAACATGGCCGGGGCAGGAAGAGTCTTTTATAGAGACAGGGGTGGGGCTTGTAGGGCCCGAGGTGGGGTTGAGGTAGTGATCAGGGAGTGGAGGAGCCGGTGACATCACTAGGTGATAGGAGGTGAGTGAATATTAGGTTACTCTCTAGGTGGGACCAGGGGCATGCTGGGAAGAAGGGTTTGTTCTTTGGTGGGAGCAACCATTTTGGCATGACGTCATACAGGGGAGGGGGCAAGGCACCATAGGAAGAGGGCAGCTACTATACATAATAGCTGCTGAGGTAGTGGGAGACCTATCATTCCAGGCTTTTGTTTTATGACAGTTGGATGAAGGTCTCTTCTTCTGGAGCTGCTTCCTGCTGACCAGGGGTGAAGATTGGGGCTAGACCTGGATCTGATGAGGCCTGTGGCAAGTGGGGACCTCTTCTATTTGTCGTACTGGCTGGTACCCTGCCGTGATGAATTCTGTGACTGTCTGGTTGGTGAATGCTCTCATTCGTTCCTGCAAGAAATTTTGAAAACAGCGAACCAGACAGGGTCCGAAGAGTAAGATAAGGCAGATGGTGACCAATGGTCCTATCAGAGGAAGGAGCCAGGGCAGCCACCTATTTAGGGAAAAGAGATTTTCATTTACCCAATTGTTCATGCGTTGATCAATGTTTGAGGCCCTTTCAGTGAGCCTTTTTGCTGCATCTCCTACTATACCTGATTGATTTGTATAAAAACAACATTCCTAGGAAAAGACATATACCGCCCTTCTCTGCTGTAAGGAGATCTAGCCCCCTCCTATTTTGGAGAGTGATAGCTGCTAAGGAATCTATTTGGTTTTGTAAAGTTGTGATTGATCTAGCTATTTCTTTTAGGCTGTCACTTAGCTCTTTAGAGAGAGTTTGGAATTGAGTTAGTGAGGTAGCTGGGCCCCCTACTCCTGTCCGTAAAGCAGCAGTGATGCCTAGTCCTACAAGTAAGGGTATTAATTGGACAGCTTGTCTATGTCTGACCCGTGTTTTTGTTGGCATTGATAAAGTTTGATTATTTGGGGCTATATCAATGTTAGGGCTGAGGTAAACTAGAGTGCAAGTCCCTGTCCAGTTAGTTGGCAGGCACAGGTGGGCCAAAGTTCCACAAAGGAAGAAGATCCCTTGACTGGGTAAACAGAATTGGTTGTGTATGTCTAAAAGATGTGTGAGTTTGTTATTCTCCATTTCCCATATTCCTAGTATTCCTGCCAACATAGCGCCTGTTAAGGGTTGAAAAGGTATTTGGCGTGAGATTTGTTGGGCATTGTTGGTCCTATTTTCCCATTGGAGGAAGAATCTCCTGGTATCAACCAGAAGCCATTCTGGAGAATGGTTAAATATTGGGATAAGGAGGCATTCTGAGACTGAGGGGGCTGTGTTGCAAGGAGTCCAGGGATGTATAGTCACGCAAGGCATATGGCGACCATTGCAAAACCCAGAATTTTTGTTGAAAAGACCCTGTGTCATAATTTTTGGAGCCCCAGTGAAGCAGACAGGCTGAACAAAGGGGGCATCTTGGGTGACCTTGTAGTTAGTATGACCTGACGAGGCCTGTAATTGTAA